GCGGAGAGGGCGCGCGGGGGCGGCGCCAGCTCATCCACTTCATACGCCCTGCGTGCAAACCAGGTGTAGAGGCCACACAAATTGGGTGGGTAACAGGGGAGGGGTGGAAGGGTGGGGGCGCAGCGCCCCCTGGGCCATAAGGGGTGGGGGCGCTGCTGTGCGAGGACGAGCAGGGCGAAGAGGAAGAGAGAGAGAGAGCGAGAGAGAGGTACTTATTCGTGGAGTGTTATTCCTGTCCCTGCAGCATGCCGGGGGTTGGGTTGGGTTGGGCCCCTGGATGTCACATCAGTGCGAGGGAGGGGAAGTGGAAGGGGGAGGGATATTTGGTTTTAGGCGGCGGTGGACTCTACAACAGCAGAAGAGGAAGGGATGGAGGGGTTCTGCTGCTGCCGTTCTCCACGAAAACTGGTTCTGAGAGCAGCGGGAGGGTCGTCCCGCCAGACTCGCTGGCCGCCCCTGCTCGCGGGATGAGGAGTAAAGGGAACAGCAAGGAGGTCATATCCAAGAAGGTAGTAAACTGGAGCTGTTTATGACCTTTTAACCCTGCGTAAGAGCGGGGGGAGGAAGACCGAGTTGATGATAAAAAGGGTTGGTGGGATGTTGCCCGGTGCGCGGGGTGGTGGCGGGGCGGACTTGTATCATCACGAGCGGGGCCATTAAGAAGCACGGGAGGCAGCCAGCTCCCGGCTTCTCCTGGACGGTCCGGTGCGACGACCCCCAGCCCCACGAACGGGCGTGATCGTGTTAGAGCGCTAGCGGCCCTCTGTGTCTCTCAGCCAGAGGTCGCAGAGACCCCCGGTGCGAAGCAGCAGCAGTTCACGGCAGGGCATGCTGTGCCCGGCTGTGCCGTGTGGGTGTAGGTGTGCGCCCGGAGTGGCCTCGGCCAGGAGCCGGCAGGAGCCCTAACGGCCCGCCAGGGCCCTAACCTCTCATTTGCCCCGCGCGCGGAACCCTGGACCACACAAACTAATTCCGGTGCGAGAAGCGAGGAGGTCCGCGGGGGCCGAGCGGGGCCCCGGCCTCGGCCCTTACCTGCTTATCTCTGTGTGGCCGCGCAGCAGCCGGCGAGGCCAGGGCGAGGCCGTGTACCACCGCGGGGGCATCCGCCGCCATACGGTCGCGGCCCAAACAGGTGGCGAGAGAACCATTTTTCGTCCGGACCGAGGGAGGACGTGTCCATTTATTTAGCACCACGCCTGACTCGCCACGGACCTCGCCGCCTGCTGTGCGCTTTTATCGCACGGAGTGGCGCAGCAGCGCAGTGCGCGCGGCGGTGGACACGGAAAAAGGGGGGGGGGATTGGGGTTGGGGCAGAAGGGGAAGGGGGTGGGGCGGATAAATGCAAAACAGGAAAAGAAGAGGAAGGGGGCCGTTACCGAAGTGATGGTCATCATAACCAGTGAGCCGCGCTTGCAGTCCGCCCCGCCCTCGTTCTCCCTGATGCCGTACCATTTCACCCCCACCCCCTCCGGCCCCCCACTCCGCCAGGGCACCACCAGGGCGCTGGCAATTGCATTACTCGCTGTGCACTGTGCCGCTACCGCTGCTGCTGCTGCTGCTGCTACTGCTGCTTCCACCACCACCACCGCCACGCCTAGAGAGGGACGCTGCTATCCTCCGGGGCGGTGACTGGCAGATGGGGGAGGGATAAGCCTGGAGGGAGAGAGAGAGCGGAGGGAGAGGGAGGGAGGGGGAGGGGTAAAAGTAAGGGCGCCACAACCACCCCCACCTGCCGCCCGGCCAGGGCCGCCCGCCCGCCCGCCTGCAAAGTGCTT